ATAATTCGAAGTGGTCTGTATTCTGTCGAAACTGCCAGACGCGGATCGCGATTTCGATCTTTTTGGATCTCATCAGCGCGTCGCAGACAGCTCCGACAGAACACAGACCAACTTTTACCTGCTGTCTTAACAGCGCGTTTTAGAAAATACTACAAATGGCGCAGTAAACACCATCTGTAGTACGATGCTACATTTTAGGATTACGTATGCTCCAACAAGGTCCATTTAAATATATGGATATCTACTTGCTGAAAACGAATCTCGGCGTAGCCAACCTCAACGTGATAGGCACGTTAGCTTAATCGAATAAAATGATACGAAGTGGTGATCTCCTGGCGATCTCTGCCACCCTGAGTACTGAAAGAGATGCTGTCCTCTTATTTAAGTTTCATGTAGCATTAAAAATCTTAAAGAATAATAAGATACCAGGTTTAGATGGAATTCAGGCAGAAATCTTAAAACATGTAGGACAAGATCTTAGAGATCGTATGTTTTGGCTAGATAGTCACATTTACTAAATGGAAAAAGTTCCGGAGACATATTAGAAGCAGAAATAGGAGTTAAGAGATGCAGAGATAGATCTAGATTAGACTACAGGTTACAAATAGTTAAGCATATGGGTTATTCTAGTTTTAAGGAAATACGAAGATTAGCTCAGGATAGGAAAGATTGAAGTTGTGTTTCTAACAAGTCTTAAGATTGACCACCCTACGTTCATGATAATGATAATGATTATAATGGCCAAAGTAGTGAAAGCCAATATATAAAAAAATTGATTATTTGTGTCTAAAATAAACTGATAAAACTATGAGAGAAAATGAAGTTTGATTTTAAAACAATCTTCTTGTGAATGAATGACAAATATTGCTTATTTATTAATGAGTTTACAGTTTTGTGTTCAAAAAAATGTCTATAATCTAATATGGAGATGTATAGGTAAAGGTCTAGATGATGGCCCCCACCCCCTTCGGGGGTTAGAATGGGGGAATCAAAAAAGGAGGTCTCCCCCACCACTGTACCATAAAAAGTTCGTGGCGGTCTCAGCCCCGTAAAAAGTTATCGGGGTTCAAAGTTAATAAATATGCCAATTTTTATACGTTTTTAGGCATGTAAATATTTATATAGTCATTCTTAAACAATATTTAAAGGTAAAACTAATGAAAAATACATAAAAATATTGAGAAAGTTATATAAAACATTATTTAAATATCTTTATCAATAGGGTAGGTTAGGTTAGGTTANAAATTGTGTGGAGTTTAAAATATCATTTTATTCAATGATCTCCCCTTGTCTATTCTTGATTATATCGGTAAATATTTTATACCCCGAGTCCATAACCGTTATACCACTATAATTTTTGACATTATCCCTTCCATCCCTTTTATACATTGGTACTATTGCACCACATTTCCACTCAACAGGTATTTCATTATTTTCCCATATCCCTTTAAACATCTCATAATTTATCGCATATTAAATCTCCAGCATATATTCAAGCCTCACTTGGTATCCCATCCTGCCCACAAGCCTTTTTTTTTGCCAACGAGGTTATACCTTTCATAACTTCACCTATTTCTATACATGGTGTCTTTCTCTCCTCTTTTCCTACCTCCCTTATCATGTAATCTTTTGCAATCAACTCCTCTCTTCATTCTAACGCTCCTTTAAAGTGATTGTACTATTCTTCATCTACTTATACCATTCTCTTTTTATATCAATTAATTATTTTCCAAAATTCTTCAGTTCCTTTGGCCATATTGAATTTTTTTACTTTGTATACTAAATCAAATTTAGATACTGCAGATGATCTTGTATTAAAATAGGGAACAAGTTTTGCTTGAAAAATTTTTCGATAAAACTTATAGTTTGGCCACAACAAGCATATATGCCATAGGCACTTTTATCCCGTATAACTGTTTTTGTCAAAAATACGAAGACACGTCTTTAGTGCCTTTTTACACTTTTTTGATTGAAATTGTTCCCATTAAAAAATAATCAAAGTTTTTGCAATTGATTTTTTTTCATTTTCAACTTCGAATTACATATTTTTTAGTTTTTTAAATGAGCGATTAAAAGCACTTCTTATCGTTTTTCATGTACAATTTAATCCATTTGGTCGTTCTTGAAAATATCAATTAGAAATATGTGAAATCTGAAAATCAATCAACTTCGGAGGTTTGTTTCATCGACGTTTATTCCGCTTATAGGTTATTGAGTTTTGCTCAAGTGACCACCCTCTTTCGATCCCCCACCTCTACCCGCTTGAAAATAATTATTTTATTGAATTTTATTTGAATTATAGTGTATGAAAATTGTCAAAATAATCAACTTTCACCCCCCATAACTTTTTATGGGGGTGAGACCGCCACGAATTTTTTATGGTACAGTGGTGGGGGAGACCTCCTCTTTCGATCCCACCCGACTCGGGGGTGGGGGCCATCATCTGGACATTTACCGATGTATAATTTTACATGCGCCTTGCGAAGTTATGATTTATTTCCCCTGGGTAAGTGCATCAAGATGTGTTAAAAACGCAGTTCTGGGCTCTTACGTAAGACTATCTTTGGTACACGTTATAGATATGCATACACATAAAGGAATTTACCACCACCAAAGGTCGTACACATTGAATTAGCGATATTTTTTTTAAAATTTTATTACGACAAAAACAGATAGCCTAGCCGTATTGGGTTGAGTATTTAATTATTACAAGCATTTGTCGTCATTAAGATAAAGTGGCTAAAATTACTGGTAGGCCAAGGCGTCGGCATTAGCGCGCTTCGCTCTGGCGTCGCGACGCGTTATTACAGATGCCGACGTTTTGCGGAAGTTGTTAAGAAGACAGCCAGTCTCGCCGGTAATCGCGACCCTACCGGATGTTCCAGGCGACAAGAGGCGCAACGATCAACCGTTTACGAGAATCACGATTTTTGGAATCGTTTCTCTTTCTTTTTGTTTGATACATAATATGCGGGTCATTTTTATTTTCGATTTTTCCTTAAAATAAAATGAACTTGGAAAGTTATCCAATACTTATTAATAATTTGTAATAAAAACAATAGAATTTCGGTGCTACTTGCAAAAGTTAATTTGTGCTTTTACGATAAACAAGTAAGTATCTAGTGGTTTTTATTTTTTATTAATTTTTAGGGTTCCGTACGACCGAATGAAAAACGGAACGCTTATACACACTCGTGTGTCTGTCTGTCCGTCTGTTACTGTCAATTTGCTCCGAATCTACTAAATTAAGTTCAAATTTGGTACATATACGAATTTCTGTGACCTACACACGGTCGCATAACATTAATAAATTAAACTTGAACATGGGAGTCGTTTTTTGGGGGGCCAATCGGAAATTAAAAAAAGTTTTGCGAATTGTACCGTGTGACATATCAAATGAAAGGGCTTCTTGTTAGGATCCAAATATATTTTTTTTAATAATACAAAATAAGTAGTTTGAAATTTATTTAAGAAAATTGATGAAAATTGATCATCCCCTTCCACCTTTATCTCCGAAACTATTGAACCTAAAATTTTGAAAAAAATATATAAAATAGTT